TGTAGAAGTCTTTTTTGTCTTTTGCAGGTGCTAGAGGGTACTGAAAAGGGGCTGCTTCTCTCTGCTCTTAGAAGTGAAGGGTCCATGTTGCTCAGCAAAGCAAGTCCAAGGGAGTGCTTTTCTTGAAATTTCATTGAAGCAAAGCACCCTTTGCAGATATGCACAATTGTAGTAGTTAGTCTGTTTTTGAACCTAGCCATTAGTTTGAAAACAGTAATTTTTAGTGTTTGATTCCTTGACTATAGCCTGAGTCCCATGCAGTATATCTCTCCCTTCCTGCTTATCTGTAGGAATATTTCCTCTTAGAATATTAGTTGATTGACTTATCAAGCATTTCACTGCTAATACTTTTGATATGATTTGTAGGCTTTTAAATACACACATTTGCTGGTACCATGGAAAATACAGCCATAAAAACTTTATATGGTAATATGAAATAAAGCCTCCTATTTTTATATTAGTGTTTACAAAATTTGTTTGTGTTATATAAGATCTTCAACAATATTTTGCTTTATGGAGCTGCCTAGATTGATAGCTGGAGGAAAGTGGTAACCCAACACAGAAAAGCAAGTTGCTCTACCTCAGTGCTCCAATCAAAGCATCAAGCTGGACTGTTTTCCTTTGGCTGGATACCTCACTTCAAAGAAATGTCTTCTGCCCATGTGCATAGAAGATCATTGAAGGCCTGCAAAACAGTTGTCTCAACGCAAAGCATGCTGCTTTTGCAAAATTACATCAAAGAAACTCTTCTCTTTCCTCACCTGACAAGCACCCATATCAATACTGTCTTCCCTACAGAATAAAAAGATGCAAAAATTTTAAAAAGCATCCATCCCTTGTGATTCAGTGACTTTCTACTGAAAGTTGCTTCTGAATCTGAATTTAGATCAAGAACGTGCAGCCTCCCATCATTCTATAATAACACCTTCAGCAATGGAGTGGAAGCACAAAGCTGTAAATCATAGATGTTTCTAAAATGGCATATACTAGTGTATGGGATTTCTGTACCTATGGATAATACGACCCTGACACAAATTTGCTTGCATTTGTAACTTCTAGTTATAACATTGTACTATCAAAATTTGGTGTCAAAATGGCTGAATTTTTGGCTTTGGGGGCTTTTGCAAACTCAAAAAAATAGAAATTTGGAAATATTAATACTTTTTAATTGCCCAAACTATTGATATATTAAATGTTATTGTTGCTGTATTGTTGATTTTCTCATTCTTTGGCTTGTATGCTGCTTAGAGTTGAAAAACCAAATACGCATAAAAACTTTTCTAATAAATAAAGGAACATAACCCTGAAAAAATGACTGAAAAAAATAATAAATCCCACTTCTCCCCATAATACCACCACATCACTGGATGGCTTTATGGGATCATTCTATAAGGTTGGGAGATTGAATTGTATATGTAAGCCTTCAGATGTTGTCCACCCTGATCTAGATGATAGCATACAGTACAAACATTGTCGTCAAAGCGGAGAGACACAAGTCTCTTCTTGCTCATCTGTATGAATACTGTATATCTGTATTTATTTATGAGGCAAAAAACTTGCTTTACATCCAGTTGTTTCCGTCCATCAAGTATACGGACATTGCTGGCAGATCAGTTTTCTCAATCCTCTCTCTTGCATTTTGTGGCACAAATCTGAGATGTGCAGGAGAACAAGAGGAATTCAACTCCTTATGAGTCCATACAGTGGAAATATGTAGATTTTTTTGCATGTAGTTTTTCATGCAAATATATTTATCAACTGGGAAAAAAAGTGTTACACTCACAGGGTTAATGCTGGTATGGCATTAATATTAAAAAGTACTAGCAGTTCTATTTGCTCTGATATAATGCATTGACAGAGTGATTTGAGCTTTATATTACACGTTCTCTTGAAAGTCTTAAAAATGTTTGGGATAAGGATCTGGGGTTTAAACTTTACAAATATGAATGGAACTTTTTGTGATACAGGATTATTTTTAAAATATTTCTAAAATCTTGGAAGCCACAGTTATACTATACTAAAATTGCACCATACTGATTGTAAACTTTCTACACTGTGTTATAATTAGCATGTATTACCATCTTTAGTGAGAATGCTGAATTAGGGTTTGGCATTGCCCTTTCGGTTGAGAATTCTTGGAGGAATGGGGAAAAATCACCAAACTATTTAATTAATTAATCTTTATGTTTATTTATTCATTTTTCTTAATAATAATGGCAATGAGCAATAAGAATTGATTCAATGATCAACAAGCTTCCAGGCTTGTTAATACAAAATGAAAGGTTTTTTTCCTTAGTAGCTTACCTTTATATATACAAATGTTATTTAAGTATTTAATATAGATGTTTAATTTTCCCATTCAAAAATTAATGCTATTTGATGAGGGGTTTATATTTTATAATTCTGACCTTTGCTACAGAGTAAAGTCATTTTTAAATGAAGAATCCTAAAAAGTCAATGTTGATACAATCTTTTTCTTTTTTTTCATACTTCAGCTATCAAAATAATTACAGCTCTAGATTTGTTTTGGTGGAAAAAACATAATATTCAGAGTAAAAAGCTGAACTGTAATCTTTCTTTTGCATAATGCATTTTAGCAACCAAAAGTCATGATGCAGATGTTTGTTTGTGTAATTGAAAAGTAAAATAAGTTCTGTACTTTATTGTTTTTATGGCCGCTACTACCTTTTCCATCTTTGCTTCTTTTCTCTGTTACTATATTCTTTTCAAGTACAAACTCTTTAAGTTTATTTTCTGCATTGTTAAAAAATAGACCATATATTTTGTTAAGTGTTCTTCATTGTCTGTTTCTTTTTAAGAATACTATTCAACTAAAAAAAATCTTAAGCTTTTTTAAGGAAACCACAAGTGATTTTCATGGTTATAACAAATACTCTATCTGGCCCATTGTTGTGTTACGTGTTTGTTACAGTAAAATAGAATAGAATTTAAGGCAATGTCAGTACTTCGTGCCTGCATTAAATAGCTTTTGTTATTTCTTGCAGGCTACTGCTGAAGTTACAGGATGCTGTTCTATATTTGGGCCAGTGTCTTACTGTAATTTGGCCTAGGGAGTAAGGCATCCACCCACATAGCCTTCTTGCCTTGGTATAAAGATGCCCTACTTACTGTTTGCCTAGAACATGTCATCATGACCATCTCTGTTTCATTGTCAGGGTATCTAAGGCATCCTGAGGATAGGTTTAGATGTGCTGGTGTGGCAGTAGTATTTTACATATTATACCAGAACAAGTCATTCCATGTTGACAATCTAGGTACGTGGAGAGGGTGACTTGAGATGACATGGTTCAGATCAGCAATCTCATGGCTCCAGTTGGTCCAGCCAGGTGTGCTGGGAGACTTCTGCCTTTTGTCCAGTCACTGGGCTCTGTCTCTGTTCTGCAGTACTGTTTCGACTGTGAGGAAAACGCATATAGTGTTTTATTATAGGGACTCCAAGTAGTTTGCTGTAACATAATATAATATTTCATAAATTCTGGAGTGAGGGAAGAGCTTGGGCACTATAAGGTAGTCTAAGAACTACAGTAAGTTTCATCTATGCTACCAAGAAGAAAGCCCAAGGACATAAGGTCCATTATATAGTCAGATCTGAAATCAGAAGTTTGCTGACATTCTTCCAGATTTATTTACAGTACATAAGGTACCTTTCACTCTGAGATGGACAAGTTAACAGCAACATACTTGCCTTCAGATGCCAACCAACTAGATATATAGTTAATGTTGGGATCAATTATTCATCTAGCTTTATGAATCACTTCCTCTCCTGTGAGATCTGTGTGATCATAGTTAATATAATATAGTTGTCATCTGCCAAGCGTTTTCATATATTTCAGAAAATGGATATAACTATATACAGAGTAATTGCAAATTTTTAGAGAAGGACTATAATCTCTTTGGTTTAGCGTATTTATATTTAAAATGGCTGTATGTATATCCAACCAGATCTAGAACAATACCAGTATATATCTAAATATTCAAATACTTTCCAACCTTGTATAAAAACAGTACAATATAATTTATCATTTCTCTCTCTCTCTCTCTCTTTCTCACACACACACACACACACATACACACACACACACTAATGACATCAGAAGCAGACTGATTATAATAACTAGTATGGTATGATAGATTTGTTGTGATATCAAATAACCAGAATGCTCAGGGGCAGAGTAACGTTATACATAATAGGTAATTTGCTATATCCTGGAAAACCAGTAACAATTATGCTAAAATCTCACTTGGATACTCTGTTATATTGATCAACCTTTCAGATGGTCATCTAAATTCACATGGTATTCGTTGCCTCTCTGTTTCCTTTTTGCAGCAACCTCAGTTTGAATCCAAGTCATGGCACCAAACTGTTGTGGCCGAAACTTGGTTCACCTAAAGTAACCAAATCCTTTGAAGATACAACATAATTTTATTTGCATGTATACAAGCAATAATACAGTATATGCTAGACTCCCAGCAAAGCTTTGATACTTTTATACCAGAGTTTACATACCTTTGGCCCACTACATTGCAAGGTAAAGAAAGGCAAAAGCCAAACCAAAGAAGGCAGACGCGGTGGAAATTACAGCATGACATTGGAAATTCTAAATGTTTTAGATAAACCCATGTGTGTGACCTTGTTATTATTTATCCCTTTCTACTAGGTCAGCATGCTAGACATACTATCTTTGAGATATGGACAGTGAATAGAAACAATTTGGTTTACTGGGCCACAGGTTCCTGACTGAGTCTTCTCCCTGTCACTACTCAGGGTCAATTCAGCTTGCTGTAAAACTTTTCTTACAAGAGCGTTCGTATGTGGGGGGAAGGAGGTTGGTAGTGACTGCAGTTTACATGTGTATGAGGGGTGATACCTGTTACCACCACATTAAAGAGAAAGGTTTTAGTTGATTCCGTGTACCTATAAAAATTTTACTTAGAGATTTTTAAAGGCATTTCACATTTTAAAAATTCTTTTCACACAGATCCTGAAAACTGCCAAATCCTGAGAGAAAAACTACATGACACTACAACATGAGCGAGAATAAATGTGATAGTCAGTTTTACAGTGTTCAAGTTGCAGATTCAACATTCACTGTACTAAAACGCTACCAGCAATTGAAACCTATTGGGTCTGGGGCTCAAGGCATTGTTTGGTGAGTAGGCAAATAAATAGCAGCACCTATCTTTTCTTAGCTAATCCCAAAGAAGCTAAGCAGAGTTATTGGTATGGGAAACTCCCAGGGAATTCCAGGGCTGTAGACTAAGTTACTGAAAAAATATCCTGGAAGTTGGCAATGGCAAATGACTTATATATTGCTAACAAGCAAGCTGCTACAGTATGTTCATGAAGTCCCAGGAATCAAGCTTGACTCAAGAGAGTCGTCATCTTTTATTTGTAGCAAACACTAATATAAACATCTGCTAAAGTACAACCCACATCTAGGAACAATCAAACAGTAAAGTGTAGAATTGCCACAATATAAAATACCTCATACATAAGAGTAGTGTTAGGTGGTCTGTGGATGGGTCTTCCCAGTACCAATTCCCTCTCCCCATGGCAATCATCCAGCCTAAAGAAATATGGGAAAATATGGTTGATGTTTTTGAGGCTACCAAAATAAACATGCAGTACCAATAGAAGAGAATATATGTAGCTCAGGGTTGAACTGTGGAGTCCTTGGGGTTCTCTGAGCTTGGTGGTTTTCTTGCAAACATTTTGTTACCCGGCTAGGTAACATCTTCAGTGCAGATTGCTCGAACTACTGTATTTCAGCATCTCAGCCAAAAACAGCATGGCTATCCTAACTCTTGGCCTTCACTTTAAAGAACTGAGCCAGACAACTTATATACAGTAGAACAGCAGGAACAGATGTTTGAATATATTAAAGATAGTAGCAAATAGCAAAGTAGATGAATTTAGATGTAGGAAATAGGTGAGGGCAGGGTTAGAATGTAGACAGAGGTATAGCCCTAGCATTGGGGCAGTGTAACATCTTTGGCAATTGCACAGTGGCATAATCAGAGATTTGCAGTTGTAGGTTTTTTGCTAGTGATGTTATCCATGGGTGCAGAAATTTATGGACCAATGAACAGCACTTCAAAATCTGATATATATTACTGCCTTGTGTTTCAGTTCTATTGTTGAAGGGTTGCTATTGGGACATAATTTTTCTGGGGCTGGATGTTCAGGGTTCCCATTCTGTCTGGTACTGTTTCTAATCCTTTGCCAGAAAATTCTTGCTGTGCTTCTAAAATCCATAGGGGTGGTCATTGGAGGGAATCCTTGCTTCGTTCTGGAGGTCCAGACAATCATTGTGCAGCAACTGCACTGAAGCTTGTTTCTCTCCCCATCCCTGTGGAACTTCCATTGCATGCACATTGGAAGCTGATCTTATCTTTCCTCACTCCCATACCCATTCACTCAGTTTAGCAGTACTGTACAGTATGCTGGCATGATCATAGTTGTTTGGAAAGCAGGAGTTTTAGTGCACTGCTCAGAGCTATATGCCAGCTAGACAAATGTTGGTTGTCTCATCGCTTTTAGTCTACACTAGTCTTGTTTTCCAAGAATCTGAATTAGATTGTTGCTGTTTCAATTTTCAGTGCTGCATTTGATACTGTCCTTGGAATAAATGTTGCTGTAAAAAAGCTGAGCCGCCCTTTTCAGAATCAAACCCATGCAAAGCGAGCTTACAGAGAACTAGTGCTGCTAAAGTGTGTGAATCACAAAAATGTGAGTAAGTTTAATATAGCATATATTGAAAATATGCACTATTTATTGAAACCAAATGACTACCAAATATAGATGTGGATATTGGCTGAGTCTGGGAATGGGTTTGAGAAATACCTACAGTGTCAATATTTAATTCTGCTTTGTATATTTTTATTGAAGTATTTTCAAACATTCCTTGTATTAGGCTTATTTGGTGCATTACTGATACAGCATGTTAACCATAGCAGTTCAATCACATTAAGTTGCTTAATTTCATTTATTTTAATATTTTTAATAGCATATAGCTTTCTGTGCTTACTGTACCTTTGTAAAGATTGCTGACACTGATGTGCAAAATTATACAAGTAAGCTTTTGTATGTGGCTAATATAAGAAAGAACTTGAGCCAATCAGTCTCTCTCAGCCCTAGGAATGGCAAACTGCTTCTGAAATCTTGCCAAGAAAACTTGTCTCCAGGCAGTTGCCAGGAGTCAAGATTGACTTGAAGGCACCCAAAAAAAAAAAAAGGACAGGAAAGTTAAAGGATGAATAATAATAGTGGATTTGAGTGATAATAGAATGTCTGTAAACATTTACATGTTCATTATAGTTTCAGAGTAAATGTTTCTGTCAGTTGTCCATAACAGTCTAAAGTTAATGTGATATCATGGAGCGAATCTTAGTAATTTTCATTAAAACATTTCACCAACATTAATGCAATATGAAGATTATAGGAATTGCTTTCTATAATCTAAAGTGAGAAATGTATAGAATTTATTATCCTGAAAATAATCTTATTTACATTTGCTTTTAAGTTTCACCTTGTATTGAAACTACTCTGAGAGCTATTCAAAAGAGGGTTTTAAAAAATTAGTTAATATGTACTTCAATTGGAAAATTTCAAATTATAATTACATGCTTATTATAGCCATACAAAACTCTATATAAGAAACTGAGATAATATTGTTGAAACACAGAAGATCTACTATTATCCAGTTATTATATTAGAAGAAGCTAACAAAAAGTTTGGATTTTACTATTTACTTATCTAACATAAATTAATTTGGCAAATGTTGCTGAAAGTGGAATGATGGTCCATAGGCTTGCATCATAAATTTGCAACCAATATTTCTGTAGCTCTATTAAAGTAGTTTAGTCAATAACATCTGGACTGCTCTTTATGGTTTTGTGACTCTTACTTCCCCAAAACCCATATAATTCTTTAGACTTGATTATACTGCATTTTTTATGAAATATTTCAGAATCCGTATGTATTCTTTGATCTTAGTACTCCTAGAATGCTTCATATAAACAGTTACTGAATGGTCTGATTTAAAACATCATTATCATGCATTTTGTGGTTGTACTAATTTTGATTATTTTCCTCTGACTTCTGGTTTTACAGATAATTAGTCTATTAAATGTATTTACACCACAGAAGTCATTAGAAGAATTTCAAGATGTGTAAGTTTATTTTTTGGTTTATTGAGGTTTGTTTCATAAATATACACTTTGACCAACAGTTAGCTGAACATATGATGCTTCCTAATGTATCCTTAATGGTTTTCAGTAAATATGAATATTGTATTGTGTATCTATGTCTGTCTATCTAATTTGGTCAGGCTTGTTTTAATCTTTGTTCAAACAAACCTAATAATTAAAGACATATAAATTAAGAATTGTTTTGTTTAGGTATAAATAAATCAGTTGGAAGTTTTCTTATTTATGTCATTGGGAGATGATTTGCACTTAAATATCTTAATATTTTCCTGAAGAATTCATGAAGAATTCGTACTAAATCTATTAAAATACATTACAGGTCAGCTTTTATGTTAAGCACACTTCTATTCATTCATTAAAGAGCGTTCATTTTAATTCATAAAATAATTTCCTTTAATACGGTCTGGGCAAAATGAAATATTTTAGTCTTTCCATATATTCCAGATTTCTTCACAGTCTGTCAGCTAAGAATAGTAGTAAAACAACTTATTTGCCCATTAACGTGCATTTTGGAGACAATTTTTTGGTACAACAACCTGTGTGTGTATAATAGTTTACATTCTTGTTTTAGATATACTCTACTTTGTTATGGCCAATTCTGCCTTTTTTAAAAAAAAAAAATGTATCTGTTCTCTGTAATCGAAAGAACTCCCAATTATTAATAAAAAAATAAAAACCCACAATAAAAATACAACATAACACAAAACCTAACAATAATAACAAGAAACAGACAGCACCTCCCCAATTATTCTCCAAACATTCTCCAGGAAGGACCTGTCCTATTTCAGAAATGCTAATAGGGTAGATGTCACTCCAATCTTTGGAGGGAGGCTAGTCCATAAAATAGGGGACCTTACTGAAAAATACTTTTTGGGTCCCCATCATCCTTACCCCAGGAAACCTGATAGAGCCATTGAGATATTGTGCATTTCTGCTATGCTGCACATGATTTTAATGATGCTTTTGTAATGCAATTTGTTTCCTTGTTTCATTAAATTTTAAGCCAGTGTGTTATGGTTAAGAGATTGGATGGGCATTGGGAAGATCCAGCTGCTAGCTCACTCTCAAGCTTATTGGGTGATTTTGGCCAGTCGTTCTTTCTTGACCCAACCTACCTAATAGGGTTGTTGCTGTGGAGAAAAATTGGATGAGGGAGTGCTCTATGTTCTACCTTGAGCTCCTGTAAGAAAGGCAGGATAGAAATCTAACAAATAAATTATGTTTAATTTTTAACAATTCAGTTTTAATTGTTCAAGTTTAACACTTTAATCAAATATTTCATTATTAATTATAAATGTAAGTAATTTTCTTTGTTACATTTTTACTAAGTGCTTTCCATTTGATTTTAACATAGAAAGGCATATCTCTGACTGTTAAACACTAAGACAATGTTTAATTGAAAGTAGACAACCCGTGACCCATTGGGTCATAGTTTCAGAAATATTTCCTTACCTAAATAGAGAAACAGAAAGAGCACCAGCAGGCAAAAAAGCAGTGGGAGCAGGAGCAACTTCCGACTTCCTGCCAGCTTCCCCACTGAGTTTCCTTGTGGGAAGCTGGCAGAGAGTGTCAGAAACCCTCCCTCCCTCCCTCCCTCCCCCCGTTCCTTTCTTCCCTTCCTGTTCCTTCCTCTCTCCCTTCCTTTTACCTTCCTTCCTTCCCTCCCTGTTCCTTCCTTCCTTCCTTCCCTTCCTCCCTCCCTCCCTTCCTCCCTCACCCATGCACCCTCCCCCAGTTCCTCTGTGCTTGCACCACCCCAGCCACTCACACACCTCTGTGCACCTTCCCCGATCTGTGCCACATCCCCGCACACCCTCCCTGACCCACACTGCACCTCTTGTGCACCCCTACACACTGGCCCCGATCTTCACCACACCTCTCGCACACCCGCTCACTCCCTCCCCCATCTGGCAGCAGCCACTTACCTGCCAGCTGGCCTTGGACTTGCAACTTTCTGCTGTCTTCCCCACTGACTTTTCTTGTGGGAAGCTGGTAGGCAGTGTCACCAATCACAATTGAGTTTAGACTTCCTGGCAGCTGCTGCATTGACTTATGAGAAGCTGTCAAGGAGCATTGCAAGTGACAATCACATGACCATGGCTGACCACGGCAGGTGGTGGTGCTGAAGCAGCAGCAGCAGCACGGTGGTGCTGAAATGGCCACAACTTTGCCAAATTTGGGGATGGGATTTTGGATAATGTGATGGAATGTATCTACAAGGAGGAGAGTGATGTGGGAGATCAAGGTTATCAGGAAGGAGGGATTGCATTCCAGCAGGGGAAAGGAGACAGACAACACAGTCCACAGGGGAGCATGAGAAGGGTAAGAGATTCAGGATAGCCACTCCCTAGAATCTCCCAGGGTATATCTACTAGTTGCTGTAGTATAGATTTAGTTTGGCAAGATTCTCTCTATACAGGAAATAAAGGGACTATACTGGACTGGACTGTTTCACTGTAGTTCTTGGGCTAGGCCTGACAGATGCATTCTGTAAACACATTCTGTAAGTTAGCCATTTGAATACATTGGGTGAAAAATTGTTGCCCTATGATGCGCCGTTTCACCTAATTAAAGGTTACAAACAGACACAAAAGTTTAAGTAGTATGTAAAAGATTCCTGCATAAGCATTCAGGTAGTCCTTGCTTAATGACTGCCCTGTTTAGCAACCATTTGAAGATACAGTGGCGCTGAAAAAGTAACTCTACGACTGGTCTTCGCACTTAGGACCATCACAGTGTCCCCTGGTCATGTGATCGAGATTCAGGCGCTTCACAACAGGCGGGCATTTATGACATCACAGCGTCCTGCAGTCATGTGATTGTCATTTGCGTGCTTCACAGCTGGCTTCCAACAAGGCGAGTCAATGGAGAAGCCAGCAGTAAAATTGGAAGTCATAGTCACATGATGTCTCGCTTAATGACTGAGTGAGAAATGACATTGTAAGTCCGTCACAGTCATATGTTTCGCTTAGTAACTGCCTCGCTTAGTGACGGAGTTGCTGGTCCCATAATAACCACAATTAAGGACTACCTATACTAGAATTGTAAGCCTGTGTTTGTTTGTTTATTTAATTTCTCCCCTGCCCATCTCCCCCCAGTGGGGGACTCTGGGCAACACACACAAAACATTAAAACCATAAATAA